TTCAGTTAACTATATTACTACTAATTTCATAACTATACTTACCGAGATAACCGATATTAACTAGTGCGGGTTTAGCAAATCATCGCAGAACGGGTCGCCTTCCACCACAAAGTTTAATGTTGAGCCTCAATTAATTGAGAAGACGTCGTGAGACATAGTGATGGCGGCGTTTCGGCGACACCCCCCGTTTCACCCACGCCCCGTGTCTCGATTGGTGGTTTGGTGTTTATCGCTCCGACATTTTCACCTTTTTAATGGGGCATGCTGGTTAAAGTACCTCAATAAATAGCACTCTGATTCTGACGGCAATTAATAACCGAAAGTTGCCAAGTAAAAGCATGGCTTTCCCGGAATGAAGGGAAATTCAATCTGCTTCATCTTTAAGTTAGTATTTGTTGAGGATTTGAAATGTTGATTTAATCTCTTAGGTAACATTTTATCGGGTGAACTTTGTCGGTTAAGTAAATAAACACCCACTTTGTTACGAATATCGCTTTTAAAAAACAGTTTTGAGCCCTGAACAAGAGCGAAACATACCACCAAACTTTCTCTCGACAATCATTTAGTCTCACTTCTGAAAGACATAATATGTCAAACACTAATATTCTACAAATCATATTATGCTCCCTTTAATTGGACCCGATCATAATGTCAAGTAAAACAGCGACAGGTATCTAAGCGAGAGAGACTTGACAGTTATATCACTTGCCACGAGCTGAGCTTCCTCTAAATGCAATAAATCGAAATTCCATTACTGTTCTTCTAAGTGTTCAGGTAGTAGTAATACTTCATACAGCTTTGCTGGCATCATGCTCAAAGACGTTCAGAATTAACGTTGTAAAATTACTGGGTAGCACAAACGTAACCCAAGCCTTCACTCTGGCCGTTGACCAATCTATCGAGTTCATTTCTGCCCATTTAAGGACGAAGCCCCCCTTCGTTCCGTTCGTTATTAGTTATCACACTAGTTCACTGCTAATCTGATTTGAGTACTTCTGTCTATTAAAGTCAACTGCAGCTCATTGCTCTAGTTTGTACCTTGGGGATGGACCTGTAAAAACAGATGGCCTTTTAATTTCACCTGCCTTTCTACTACCTCATATCACATTACGATACAATGGTTATTTCCCCAAATCTAATCATAACTAATGGGATAGATAGCTGAGTTCCGTAGTGACATGGGTGTCAGGAAATACTCAACTTTATCCGGGTTTACTGTCACACTGATATTACCTCACTTTTACCTCACTTACTTTTACCTCACTTTACTTTTATCTCGCCTCACTTTTGCCTCATTTTACCTTTTTTCTGTACCATGATTTCAGCTTCTTTTCATTTTTACCATGACATCACTTTTTCCTGAGATCACAAAACCGACAGCTAACTGAACTATCCATGAGCAGCAGCAGCTACACTAATATAATACGTATTAGAACATTGAGGTTTGACAGCTGCATAGTGTCTAACTGCCCAATTTTAGTTTCTGGGAAGTTTCTGAAAAGAATTCTAAAATTTGACAGGTTACATATTATGACAGGTGTGCCGGGTGGTGTAGAATACATGGCGTTGAAAGAAAGAGAGAAGCTGTCATGGTCCATTTAAATTATAGAGTCAGAGTGTTTCAAATGCATATCAAAAGATATAATTCACTGTATCCAAACAAATATTATGAGCGATATAATGTTCACTGACTCTCGCGCTCTCTCGCTCTCTCTGCCTCGCTGTGCATTAACAGAGTTCCTTTAAGTGACACTAATGGTCACTGCAGTCCATTGTCATGATTTGTTAGAAAAGATCTTTGACACGTCACGTGTCGTGCCATCCTCCCGTCTGGTTGGCTGGCTGGTCGTCGTTCTCCGCTCTCATTAGTGCTTTTCATCCATGTGGTCCGAAGATCATTGTACATCAACTGTCAAAATTATTGGTTTGAATTCAACAAATTTCGGAACCGAGATGATGGCGGAGGGTGTGCGTCAGAACAAGCTCAGTGGCCGTTAATTACGACGGTACCACTTTAGAACTTTACAGGTAAACTGCTGTTAACAACTCAGCAGTGGGAGAGATACTGGACTACTACTCTGGAGTTGAGAAACAACTCCTGCTTCTAATTCTTACCACTCTCTAACCCGCACTAAACCCCATCTCTACTCCTAGTTAGAGGTCTCCATCCCATATCCTAACGATTGCTTCATCCACCCTCTATCTCTCTACCTGTTCTTGCTTTATCATTCATTCTCCGGACCATGTTCTAATATACTCCAAATCTGCTATTTCACTCTCTTACTTTTAACAGAAGTGTATAAAGAATTAAATTAATTAAAAGCGGCATCATCAGATCACCAGCCTGTGTTGTGGACAATGTGGTAAAAAGAGAAGGTGGGGGATGTTTTGTTTGTGACGGTCTCTGAATGGGGGGCGGCGGAGGTTTTGTCACATCTCTCCACGGATTGTCACGTAGACTGCTAATCTCACACGGTTACTAGTGATTCATACTTCGCAGGTGTTGGCCTCTCGTATGTGATATTTATATCACATACATATATATAGTATATATTATGGTACCTAGACTTGCAAATAGGAACTTGGGAGCGAGTCGAATAAACCTGTGAGAACGGAGCTGTAGGTTATTAGTCAATATTTAGGCTTTAAATGTGGAAAACTTGGCAATCAAGTGTCAAGCTCGAAGGTTACCAGGCAGTGTGAAAAAGGTAGTTGTAAATGTTTTCCGTCGCCCTTCTCGCAGTCAACTGTGGGACGTGAGCTTGTATGAGGGAGCAGCACCCTTGGATAACAATTAGAGAAAAATGTACGCCATGTTACCTCTTCCCTGAGTATTTTGCGAACCTTTGAGTCTGGAGTCACTTCTTCTAAATGGATTGACTGACATGAACGATTTGACCAACTCCAGCGAGTCAGAGAATTGGGAGAACAATGCGAGGGTCTGTCAGAGATACGCACTTTTTGCTTTTCAATTATTAGACTCAGTGCTTTGAAGCCTCCTGATATCAAATTGGAGAGCTCGAGCCCTTTCAGAGGACGGCGTTTCTGTTTCTCGCAGAAAATAGAACACACGTCAGAGCAAAGCGGCTGGCCAATAGCATCGGGCTGGAGTTGGTCATTTTAAATCCTCTTGTAAAGTCGCACTGAATAGCAAAGTTTTCTCTGAGTTTTGAACCATATATCTCCCATTCCAACTGTATTCGGGGTTTTAGTATTTAGATTGCGCGTATGTAATTAATGAGAGAGATTCCCCCCCCCCCCCCCCTTTATTACTCTCTGTACGGATTACTCTCCAGCTCCACTAAAACCCTGTCAGGGTAGTGGTTTAGGGTGGACACTGTGTTACTCTCTCCTTTTCTGTTGATTAAAATTTCCCCTCGCCTCATCAAACTGAGGTTGTGATCTGGCAGCTGCCACACTTCAATTCCGTCACTTTCTGCCGCATATTTGTCGGTATCCAATATAATATCACATAATAACATGTCCCTCTTTCAAAAATTTAAATTACAGCGTCTTCAATGCTGCGCTTAATGTGGCGCGGTATCTTGACTCTCAATTACCAATCAGCTGCCAGGATTCCAACCACGTGATTGAGATGGTCCAATCAGCGCGGGCTTCTCAAATAGCTACTGTTTGCACGGTTTGGAGTGAGAACCCTAATTTACAACAGGGCTTCCCTACTTTCCCATGTCAGAAGAAATTTTAAAAGTTCCCAAAATTCTCTCGGCTGATATTTATAATGCGTGTCTGACAAGAGATGAAGCTGTTAAAATATCAGGTTCCGCTGACACAATGAGTCATTTAGCGCAGTGTTGACATATTTGGTGGCTGTTATTTATCCAATCCTACTAGTCACACTGTCCCATACTACTGACATCTGTTATTGGAACGCCTCCAGTTATCCAGTTAGCCACTGTGTCTGACTTAAAACGTAGGGCGGATGAGAGAAGAGGAGGGCTCGCTATCACAGTATACCGGCAGTCAAAACCCATACAACCGTCAACCGACCTGCCTTTTTTTCCTTAAAATACACATGCCTATTTAGCTGTGTTATTTGGAGCTGGTGGGAAAGTGTCCAATAATGGGAGAGAGGGTACTTGCTGTGGAGCAAGTAGTGGCGGAGAGAGAGAGAGAGAGAGAGAGAGAGAGAGAGAGAGAGAGAAGTGGTTATCATTGCTATGGCTTATATCCTTGACTACCTGTAACTCGTACAGTTGTACTGCTATTTTCCAAGCAGTTGTAGTGATACAACTCTTCCACCTACAACCCTCTCTGTCACCATCCCAAAACGCCATTATTACAATATTACTGCCTCCCCCACTTAAGCTCTTCTCTCTCTCTCTCTCTCTCTCTCTGGACTGAAATCTTGTGTGTGTGTGTTGGGAGATAAGAAGCAGTGTGGGAGGGTGGTCGTGAGAGGAGTGTTGTTACTAAATTACTAAACACTTTACAATGGGGTCATGTCGACAGGCTAATGTTGTGAGCTGTGGCTCAGGCCACGAACTGTAGGACTATAAATTAGATGACCTGTAATACTTTTTCACTCTAATGAGTTTGACAACTAATTTTCCAAGCTTTCTCTCAGAGAATGACAAGATTTTGCGGCATTTGTGCCTGTGCAAGGACAGGTATCGCTCTATCTGCTTGATTGCTTTCTTAGGGAATCTCAACGTTGTACTCGCGGTTGACATTAATTAATGACACCCAAAAACCAATCAATTAGACTTTGAACTTTAATATGATGAAATGGGAGGGGGTAGAGCAAGGTGAGTGTATGTAGTTGTAGTGAACTAGTGAGTGCCATGTTCAGGTAGGGACGGCTAGTGGGAGGGGGCTGTGTAGGGAGCGGTTTTATTCGGCCGAGCAGAGCTGGAGTCAGAGTGACAACTCGTTTCCTATCCAACACGCGCTCCACTTAAACTATAGGGCTGCTTCCTAGCTCCAGCTTTAATTAGCACTGGTACAGGAGAAAACTTACAATAACACGTCCATATTTTCAGATCACGCCAAAACCACTCAGCGCTATCCACCGACCTTCCCGTAAGTAGCAAATACATGGAAACTTGTTATTTAAAACTGAGAGGTTTGCTGTTAATGTCCCGGTTGCACCTAAATTTTAGCACTTTAAGAAAAGTCACTTTAAATACTTTTCTTGTATGCCAGCACTTGTTTGACTTAACAATTTAAAACCGGAAAATATGCCAAAACTTTAAAAGGTACACTGTTATATGGCTCGTATAAAAATATATATACTCTACGGCCTGTCTAAAATTGTTTATGTGTGACCTTACTGACATTTATCTTTGCTGATGGACAAAGAGTTTGACAAACATATTGAACATTTCATTAAATTGTTGACAACCTAAAGGCTGGTTTGCCTGTTAACACCGTAGAATAGCAGAATGTTCACCCAGTGTTCAGGGCTGTCAGACAATATGCTGCTACCATACCTGTCGTCTATCATTTAGTGTCCACCTTGCACTTATACATAGTCAATCTATTACAACGGTCAAGAAATTGGGGTTAATTTGCAGGGAGTGTTTTTAGTTGCAAGTTAGAACATTTTGTCTAGTCATGTTAAGTCATGTGGGTTAAGTTTGCCAAATGTTCTAAACTTCATGAGGTACGTTCCCAGTTCCTCTCCCAATTAATTTCTATTCCTCATTGGACATTGTTCGCTAATTGCACTTTACCAGCTTTTAAATGTCCACAGTACGTATTAAAGTTACAAAAAGTTTCACGGCGCGGTGCACTTTAGAATAATACGTTGAGACATCGTTAACATCGTAAAATGGTGCGCGCACTCATATAACAGAGGCGCGCACTGATAAACCACATTTGTAATTTGCCGCGGCATCCAACCTATGATTTCATCTTTACCAAGCATTGTTTATTTTCCACCATCTAGTTATTTCCAGTGGAAAATAAAGGTGGAAGCGAATGATGACTGCATGAAATCTGAAAAATAGATCCCCGACAGGATTTCAAATCCGAGCACCAGACACTCTACGATAATTACGTGAATAGAGAATGCCGGATTATAGCTCCCTCAAACTTGGGACAGCCTTGGACAGAGCAATAAACAAATTACTGCTTGACAGCCGGACTATTACTGACAACTTAATTTTCCATTTGACAAGTCTAGAATGGAGTATGAAAATGGGCAATATAAACTAAAATCTAGGCTATGTGACAAATGCAGTTATTTGGTGTGAGTCTGTCCCAGCCACGACGCTTAGACATTCCGTCAATTTGTCAAATTCCTGATCTATCATAAAACCAAATTACAAGCGCTTCACTTTTAGAATGTCAAAGTAATCATATGTTGCAATTTCTCCCTTGCTATTTAATTGCATCAAAGAAAATGATCTCTTTTAGCAGAGAAACCGCACAATCTATGCCAGCCCGGCTCTAGCATCAGGGCTTGTTCCTGCGGTGCCCTTTTAACAAAGCTAGTCAATACAGACTCAGTGAAACGAATACTGTCACCCTGTCAATATACTCAAGTCTCAAGTGCTGGCATACCCTACCCAGACCCATTGGTTCAGAGTCTAACTATTAGACTTGTAACCTGTGAAACACCTGTTTGCTGTTCGGGGCACCCAGACTAACCGACTGTAATTTCAGCGACTATGGCAACTTCCACGTCGTCTCTGCTGAGCCCCCTACTCGCTCAGACCCCACTGTTGAGTCCTCCCAACAACTTCTTGGAAACTTTATCCAACTACCCCCACTCTGTCGAGGAGCTGCAGGTGACTTACTAAACTTATTTTTCCCTCCGTCTGTTTGAAGGGACGTCACACGGTACTGAACTGTGATTTATTACGCTGATGTGATTGCGACACCGCACCCAGCTGATTTTTCGAAATGATCTAAGAAAATGGAGCCGTTTTAGGACGACATTATAATAACACAATTGCCTCCCTCAGAAGCAACAAGCGTTGGCCGCACTAAACACCCAAGCCCTGACGCTGACTGAAGCGTTCAAGAAGCAGCAGATGTCCGCCTGGCTCCAGAAGAACCAGTTACAGGATGTGCTCCAGCCTGCCATGCTGCTGAACGTCCTACTCAGTGCCCAGTCAGAAAATCAGGTAATGGATTTGAAGTACTGAGCAGTACTTTTCTACCCGATCACGTGATTTTCGATTTGACTTTGATCTTCGGTTCTGGGAACGAGTTTGACAAATAGCTAAATTGTCCAATCTGCGACGGCTCTCTTTGCTTTACATCGATCTAAACATGTCACTTTGAAACCTCATTCTAATACTAAAACCAGGAACTGAATAACTAACTCTTGTTTCTTTCAGGGCCAAAATGGTTTTCCTAAAACCTCCTCAGTGACCACACCGATTGGACAGGGTTGCCTGACCAGCCAATCTCCGCTGTCCTTTTCTGGACTGCCCTCCCTTTCAACTTCCACTTCCAGCATGGGCCTCGGACATCTTTCCTCGCTTCTAGGTGACTTTACTAATAATTCACTTATTTTGTTTACTGCTGTAAAAGGTCATAGTTACTTATCATTAACTGTGTTGGGTAGTATGTATGAAGTATCCACCAGCCTTTTACTTCCGGGCAACTGTCGACATATTATGTTGATCTCCCTACCCGTTAAAATTGTGTTCGCCATGAAAATTTAATATATCTTAGAAACGGTAATTCCAACGATTTTATGCTTCGATAAATTTTTACGGTATTATTTAAAGAGCATTGATTCATTTTGTAAGTAGTTATAGCGACCTTACTAATTTACGTCTGTTCGCCAAACTATGTCAACAGGTTTTTTTCGCTCAAGTCACGCCTTACTCCTGTATAAACGTTTCTGTCCGCCCATCAAACCATCTAAACTTATTCTAACAAATCATTATGTCAGGAGGAGGCTCATTCTCAAGCAGTCTGAACTCCGGGCTGAACAGCAGTCTGAACTCTGGACTGAACTGCAGTCTGAGCAACAGCCTGAACAACAGCCTGAACAACAGTTTGAGTAACAGCATGAGCAACAACAACTCGCTTCCTTCCCCGCTCCTCCTGCCTCAGCTTCAGAGCATCATCAACGATAATCCCTCTTCAAAACCGATAACCCAGTATATTCAGGTAACTACCAATGTCTCGTACAGAAAACACGTCACCTTTATTATGGGGTATTATTATTATGGGATATTACAGTCAAGATATGATTGTCATTGTGATCTACCAACTTACCGAGAATCAGTTCAAAGCCTTGACCAGGTCCCTACTCTGCTTGCATATCATGAACAGCTACGAAAGCTGCTCCCCAAAATTAGAATGAGATGATAATTGCTTAGCGAGAGCTGAAAACTAGACTTAGTTTTTTAAAAAGATCAAAGAAAAATAAACCGTGCGATACGTTCCAAAGAAAAAGAATCGGGCAACTTGGTTCAATCCGACTGCTGATTTTGTCACCCCAGAAATCATGGTCAAGAAGTTTCTTGTCCGCCATCTTTCGGGCATCTTATTTTTATTGTTACTTTGTTGGCATTATTCTAACCGGACGTTATTGCAGGCAAACGGGCAGATCTACCAAGCTCAAATAGTTCCTGTTACTGGACCACTCACAAGCGTAGCTAACACTGAGGTTAATAGTTAGATATTTTACACCTTTTATAAAATGTTGTATCCCCTTTTTAAAAGTATCGGGTATTTGGTTTTAAGCGAACATTTTTAGAATAAAAGCTCAGCCACGACAGTTTTTTAAAAGTCACTAAAGAACTGATAGAGATAATAACAAAGGATTTAATTTTCAATCATGTTGTCCTTCAGTGAAACTAATCCTCCAATACTTCAGATAAAACGTGAGATATCCAGCTGAAAAGACCCCGCCAGCAAACCCACCACTGATGAGAACCACACACGTCAACACACAGAGACAAGTTGAAAAAGAGAAGATCTCCGTCGTGATCGTCGTGGACAACAACACAACAGCAACTTTAACAACAGCAGAGTTATCAGAAGTTAGAAACGCCTAGTGTGTGTATTCAGAGAGATATTGAGCTCTGATCGCAGAGACTCTGGGAATTGAATATAACAACGGGATTTTAACGTTTTAGTCGTGGGGCTCTCACAACGTTTTAGTTGTGCTCTCACACTGCATTATTAGTCCTCTTATTAACTTATAGAGTGATTATAGAGTGGTAGATTTAAAGTTACAACCTGTATAACGTTAGTGTTTTTTTTTCTTTTATGTTCTTTATTTCGATTTTGTGATGAAAGCTGGATAGTCGAATATGTTTCAATCGGGTGATATTATTTAAAGCAAGCTGGTAAATTTTTTTCGTAGCGTTAGAAAAACTTGTTTCTCCAATTCAGCTTTTTCAGATTTTGCCTGTTAACAATATTTTAACTCACATATGTACCCACGTTAAGTTGAGATCAACCTATATTAACCTGATGCATGTATATTATACGGCTCATGGCATGAATGTTGAACAATTGTTAATATGTGAGTCCAGGCAATGGAGACTGTTCTTGAATTTCTGTAGAAAAAAGGGTGAGCTGGTACGTAGAAAAGACACAATTAAAATCCAATAACTATAGCGAATAGCGATAGATTTGTGAAAATATCTTAGTTGTTTTGTGTATATTTTCAAAATTTACTCTTTCTCTTAGATTTGAAATATTGAATTAACATAAACTAATTATGAAGATCGGTTTTGAGTTGTTTGGTTTTCCCCTAAATGTAATTTTAATCGTTATAGCTAATATGCATTTAGAATTTTAGAATTATTCTTTTTAATGGCTTGTCTTATTTCTCGAAAATGGCCATGTCAATGCTTGCAGACCAGGCAACAACAAAGAAAGAACTATCTAATACCATCACACTATTCACTTCCTGTATACTATTCAACAAAAAGGAGAATAACAGTAAAATTATTTGGTAGTTAAATTTTTAATTAAATTCAACCGAAGTGTTGTCTTCAATCGTCATCTCAGGATATATTCTTCGTTCACCGTCGATTAGTACAGTAATAATAGGTTCATTATTACAATAGGAATATAGTACACATATATCAATATGTTTAACTTAAGGCAGCGCTGACATTTGTACAAGCGCTCTGTGATGGCCGATCAATGAGCAGACAGAACAGTCTCAAGATCACAACTCGTACCAATGTCCAATATGCCACAACTTATCAATATACAAGTGTTAGTCATCATCCCAAGTGATTAAATAATAAATTAGCCGCATGGGATAGAACGAACATTTGTTATAACATGTTCTAGCACCTCAACTGGTGGACAATTTACACGACGTTTTAATGGCACGGAATAATGTAGATTAGACATGATAGACTGAGTTCCATCATAAATTGCTAAATTTCAATCACCTGACCCCATGTGACGAACAAACACATTATACTTTGGATCATCTGTGCAGCTACGGCTACTGTTTTACAGTTATTCAGACTTGGTCAATGGTCAGCTGCCAGAAACTAAGCGTACTCTAAAGATCAACCTTGACAGGGTTTGTTTTCGTAATTTTAGATTGAACACGTCATTGATCTTACAGCTTTACAGTATGCCATTTTATATTATGTTGGATTTAAGTCACCTACGTCTAGGCCTACTTTAGGGTCGGTACAATTACAATTTACTTCTTACTAATAGTAATACTACACTCAATTTTACAATTTTAGACCTGATAGTGATAAGTAAAATGCTAAAATGTTTCTCATGTACGTGTGAGTGGTAGTGTGCTGGTGTGCAGCTATTCTAAAAGTAAAAAACGTCTGGATGTGTCGTATCAGCACGCTACAATTATATCCTGCAATAAAAATGCTTGAACAGCTGAACAATAGCGCAGCCTCACTGACAATTCCACCTCATTCAGATCAATTGACAAATGACATGCATCATGATTTCGATCACGTGTTTCTGACATGCAGATAAAAATCCACGGTCTACATAATTGCTAATCGAGTACTTGATAACTGGCTAACCAACTAGCAGCCCTCTTCCGCTGTAGTTTGAAAATATGCAAGAGAAAATAAGCAACAGCAGCTCACTTGATATGCTACTATTACAAAGAGCAGCCGGACGGCGGACAACTCGGCCTAATCTTAGGGATGTCCTGGATAAATTACTATTAGGAAGGCCCTCTTTCAAAATTATGATAAAGCAAAACTCTGATCTGCTGTGCTTCTTGGGGGACCAGAGTGGTTAAAATCCCTATAAATCAGGGTTATTACTTAAACTAAACACATGTAAATGAACACTTTTGGGAATCTAAGAAGCTATAATCTCAGAAACTAATTCAAAAGACAAACATGCTACAGCAAAATAGTTTATCTCCTCCTTTTATAGGGAGCTGGAAGTATAATTATAAGCACTGGGTCCTCGGTCAGATTATGTTATTCCATGCCGAGATAGGTAAGAATGCCGATTTTTTATTAAAATACTTCCCTGACAATACTTGATATAGTTTGCAATACAGTCTCTAATCAAAGAACTAGGAATCCTTAAACTTAAACTTAATATATCTGCCCTGTCCTCCAGGGCTTCCTTGGTAAGAATGCAGAGTAAGATTTAATTAGGCGATTGAAATGCAAACAATAAAGGGACCAAAAATGCAAACAATAAAACCATAGAATATTTGCTACATGTTGTATACCTCTCTCGTGCACGCGAAGCGTGCACTCCGGCCGGCCGGCCGCCGCGCGCGAAAAGGGGTTGCAACGTGTGTCAATAAAATACTCCCCTCTCCCCTCTCCCCTCTCCCCTCTCCCCTCTCCCCTCTCCCCTCTCCCCTCTCCCCTCTCCCCTCTCCCCTCTCCCCTCTCCCCTCTCCCCTCTCCCCTCTCCCCTCTCCCCTCTCCCCTCTCCCCTCTCCCCTCTCCCCTCTCCCCTCTCCCCTCTCCCCTCTCCCCTCTCCCCTCTCCCCTCTCCCCTCTCCCCTCTCCCCTCTCCCCTCTCCCCTCTCCCCTCTCCCCTCTCCCCTCTCCCCTCTCCCCTCTCCCCTCTCCCTTCTTTTTAAAGACTCTACACGAACAGGCTGAGCAGCTAATAGTATTATCGAAGACGGCGAAGAAGGTTAAATTTTACTCATCAGGTATGTAACAGTCTTAAATTTATGTAACATTCATGACTTGGAACGTCTTACATTAAATTTATAACGAAAACCTTTTTTTTCTGCTTCAACTATTTGAATCTGAAATACCGCATGGGCGCCAGCTTTTTATATTCAAGGGTAAAAAGTCTCAAATTTTCGTGACATTTCAATTTTTTCTAATACCCCACTGAACAAAGTCTAGGTTGAAGGTAAAGGTATGTTTTCAATGCTTACATTAAGAATATTCGCTAACGAATCACATGAGATAACTAATAGTAATGGGAGTTTTAGTTTTCTTCTTTTTTGAATTTCAGACAGGTATTACACATTTACAGTTATAGCTTATCAGTCCTTATATTATTACACCTTAGTCCTCATTCTATTGTATATGGCAGGATCGAGATCGAGGGTAAAAATCTTAAAGTTTTGCCAGTTTATCATTATGGTCTGCAGATAAAAAATCATTTCTGCGTTGTATAAGACTAAACAAGTAAAACGATTACATTCCACAATAAATAAAAATTAGCTATCATAAAATCACATGACATTAATGTCAATGATCAAATAAAATTATTTCGATCCATTGACCGCGCTAGATATCATCATTTCTCACAACATAATTTTCAACTAAAAATTAGCATGAAAAGTTTCCCATTTATAATAAATAGTAAAGATAATACACATCTACAAAATTACAATAACACAATTTGAACACAAACAATATAAATGGTGGTAACCTCAAATACATACCTATGTGCCATGCGGAGAATCTTAAAATTAAAAAGGAAAATCAAATAAAATAGGATATCAGAATGGAGATTGCTGCTGATAGTAGTAGTCTGCAAAAAAGAAAAGATTCAATCAAGATTTAAATGTTCACATCTTCATATAAGAAAGTAAATCTTTAGATAACAATCAGTCAATCAGATAATTGATTGATTGATCAACACCAGCAGTTTCGTTTAAAATAAAGTAATACAAAGTAAAAGTTTAATGAAATGAGCGTGCTACAAAATTCTCGAGGGTCAACACAAAAATCTTACGCTGCTAAACTATTGTGCAGGTTCGGTTCGCTCCTAGGTTCGCTGGCTCAGCTCAGATTGCATGTGTATTATAATTGTATACTTGGAGCCGTACAAGCGAACCGAACTTAGAACCGAACCGAACCTGGACAAAAGTATAACACAGATACAGCTGGTAACATCTGTAACATCTGCTCGAAAATATCTGATAAAAACATGCAACTCTCTGATTCTTATCTTCAGATCTGCATATTTAATACTTAATTGGGGAAGTTAAAATTAAAAGTACAATTAACAAATCTGGCTGAACCCTGTTTCAATACACACATTATGTCCTTGATCTCGGTGTGAATAATTTTGGAGTCCGGTAACAGAGTCGAGGAGTCCTTATTCACAAACTCACTGTACTCCATTCTTTCCTGTTTGATCGAGTCCGCTGTTTTAGAGGTTATATTTATTGTGCAGTCCTGGGGGAATTACCTGTTTAAGACTTCCACAAAGTTACAAGCTGTCAAAGTCGAACGTTTAAAAACGTTTTTAAGATTAAAAATATAATAATTGTCATGAGAACTCTGTTCTTAACAAACCTTGATCACTTCTGAATTCGGGGAAGGGGTGGATTCGACTGGTGACTTTTTAGACATGTCTGGTGTACGGCACTGTACAGGAGATTTGGTGCACACTGTAAGAATATCTAAATTAGTATCCCAGTGAAGATCGTTATTAAAATAACGGAGGAAGTGTCAAAGTAAAGTTAAAATCACAGACTCATATCAGACAGTCTATGCTAAATCTATTCGATTAATTTGAGCTGTGGTGTGGTCGTTTAAATTCTGGTTGAGCTGCACGCAAAACATTATTTGTGGGTACTCACCAGGTATAGGCTGGTGGTGCATGTTACTGGTGATCACCACATTGGGGATATGAGACTGAGAAAGGGAGGAGGACTGGGAGAGTGGGTGGGAGAGAGGAGGGGTGGCTGGATGTTGAGAGGGGCCGGTAGCGAGAGGAGGGAGGGGTGCTGGTTCTGGGATCATCATTATCTGAGCTCCTTGTATCAGTGAGGGGTTACCCTGAGGTTTTGTTGTGGTTATTTGGTTTATTGTTAGTAAGGAGAAGCTTGTATAAGGTTATTTGTGGGTCTGTTCATTGAATACCGACCGCTCATGAACACACTCTTCAAACCGCCCCCAAATCACTATATGTACGAGATAAAATATGAAAATAAAAACCTGAAAGTTAGCGAGAGAAGTAGCGACAGCAGCCAGGTTGAAATCAGGAGCGGCAGCTTGGGAGAGGGTGCTAGAGAGACTGGTAGCTAGACTCTGCAGTATGTTGTCGTGGGTTAGTTTCATGTCCTGCTGAATCTTAGGGTCCACCATGTTGGAACGGACCATGGTCGGAGGGTAACCTCTGAAAATATACGGAATTAGGGTTTGTAGATCACAGAGAAGTACTGGACGAAAGAAATGATACATATGCACTGAAGTCTGAACGAACAATGTTGAGTTTAAAAGTTTTTGAGGAATTATTTCGTATCGTCGATCAAACGTAGAACAGTTAAATGGTGATCTGATAGAAAACTCACTTATCGCCGTAGTACTGAGCTAAAATACTGGCATCAGCCGAAGAAAGGTAATCGTTCTCATCGAATGTGTTGGTGGGGACTGTCGAGAATGTTCCCATCACCTGAACCAAGTATGAGATAAACAAATCTTAGAAATATTTCAATATTTCAAACATGTGTTTTTGGCTATAGTTGCAAATCGCGAAAGTTTAGAAAGCTACAAAGTTCAGTGACTGGAATCTGAAACTCACTTGATTATTCTGATTGTTAGCGGGTGAATTCTCTGTTTCCATCTTCATCTGATTGTTACCACCGTGTTGGACATTTATTTTCCCATCTCCGTTATTCAGATTTTGCATTCCACTTAGTCCCATTGTTCTGGCTGCATTCGCCATCTGATGTAGCATTGCAATGTTATTTATACAATCGTTTAATGAATTTACAATTTGACATGATTTGACCTTATCTTTAAAGTGCTATTTAAGTTTCATAAACGGACAAATTGTAACCACTTAAGGGGGCATACACCAAAACAGTGGTTTGTGCCGTCCAGACCAAATGACCTCATAGGCAGTTCAGTGACCTTCTAGCGCACCGTTTCCACACCAAAAAAAATTATTTTGAGAATACCCATTTTTGTAATCGACCATTTCCTGGTTAAGAGTGCAATTTTCGGAAAAAATTATTTTGTGGTTGAGACGCTATAAGTTAATCATTTCTTGCGGTATCGGGTTGAAATTTTGCTCGCCGTTTATTCACATCTATTTGAAGGTGTGTGTAAAATCTTGATATCGTATCTAAAAAGGCTGGTATGTTATGAATTTTTAAAGTCAAAAAGCTAATATTGTCCTTTTCAGGCTTATTTTGACAAAAAGTCAGTCAGGGAAGATCGGATTGATTTGATGCTTGACATCAAATTGTTCTCTGAATTCTGGCGCAGTTTTTGATGCCCTCAAAAATGCGTTTATTCAACTGGAAAGTTGATCTTTTGGACCTCAAAGCCAAACAACAAATTTAGGTACATTTTTCGTTTTTAATATTTACCGATTTTTCTAAAATTTTGATAGGAATGTGCTAGTGACTTTTTGAAGGGTGCAAAATAACCGCAACTAGCACATTTATATATGAGTTATGAACAACAAAACACCCTAAAATGCTTCCCTTTGAAGTTATGGGAGAAAATGTGATTTTTTGGCTTTGCAGATGAAAAATCACATTTTCTCCCATAACTTCAAAGGGAAGCATTTTAGGGTGTTTTGTTGTTCATAACTCATATATAAATGTGCTAGTTGCGGTTATTTTGCACCCTTCAAAAAGTCACTAGCACATTCCTATCAAAATTTTAGAAAAATCGGTAAATATTAAAAACGAAAAATGTGCCTAAATTTGTTGTTTGGCTTTGAGGTCCAAAAGATCAACTTTCCAGTTGAATAAACGCATTTTTGAGGGCATCAAAAACTGCGCCAGAATTCAGAGAACAATTTGATGTCAAGCATCAAATCAATCCGATCTTCCCTGACTGACTTTTTGTCAAAATAAGCCTGAAAAGGACAATATTAGCTTTTTGACTTTAAAAATTCATAACATACCAGCCTTTTTAGATACGATATCAAGATTTTACACACACCTTCAAATATATGTGAATAAACGGCGAGCAAAATTTCAACCCGATACCGCAAGAAATGATTAACTTATAGCGTCTCAACCACAAAATAATTTTTTCCGAAAATTGCACTCTTAACCAGGAAATGGTCGATTACAAAAATGGGTATTCTCAAAATAATTTTTTTTGGTGTGGAAACGGTGCGCTAGAAGGTCACTGAACTGCCTATGAGGTCATTTGGTCTGGACAGATTTGGTGTATGCCCCCTTAAGTTCCAAAGTGAAAATAAATAAAGCGAATAAATGTATTCATACACGCCCACATCACTCATCCACACCATTAACCGTACAGATCGCCCATATCAATTTAAAGGCGAATCAAAGATTAAGTACAACCCAAGGTTTACAAGTTTACAAGTTTACAAGTTTACAAGTGTACAAGTTTTACAAAATTAACCTTATCACGAGTTCTCAAACAAAACGACGGCGAAAAAAAAATCTGAACTACTAGTACTAAGTGGTATTATAATTAAAAAAATAGTTCTTATTATCTAATGGACTTATCTATACTATTACTACAGGGTGGCCCTTTTAAGATCTTGCAGATACGTGATCTCGGGACTTAATCAGCGATTTCGTCACCAAATCAATGATCCAATCGGGAGCTATTCACTAGCGGGCAAAAATGAGCCTCATTGGGCGGTATCGAGCATGTTGGGGATGACGATCTGATCACTTTAAGTGAATACTGATTGTGACTTTCCTTAAAATAAAAAAATTCGCGTTATAGCGCTTCGGTTGCTGTCCTATGAGCAGGTTCCAATCAAATCAGGCCATGGATTGAGTGAAGAAATCACAGATTAAGTGCTGGGATCATGTATCCGCCAGATCTTAAAATGGTCATAACTGGGCTTAGTTGTAAACAACCAACTTGATATTTTAGGAAAGCACTTTAATTATCAAACCAAATTTGTCTGGAAATTTTGGAGTTCCTAACTCAAAACGTTCTCACTTTATGGTGACAATAGAGAAAAAGAGGGAGTGGCGTGCCACACCCTCTGTAATTGATGAAATTTTAAGAAATTTTCAGGAAATCTAAGTTAGTCCCATTACCTTAGTATTGCTGTATAACTACTACAAATCCAAGTTTGACCCATTTCTATATTCTTTTTGAAATTTGTAAGCAATTCTGATACGAATTACGTGAGTTATTAAAGGGTTGCGTGTGGGTAGTTACTTCTGGATTCTGGGCCACTAGAAGATTATGTCTGTCTGTATGTCTGTACGACCGCCCACGTGCAAATTAGACGAGAAATAGGAAGCTGCATAGCAACACGGATGGAAACGCGGACGTGCACGTGCAATGATTGTTGGAACGCCATTTTGATCATTTTCTGGTGATTATGTAAATGCAAATTAGATGAGAAATAGGAAGTTAGGTAAACATCAAAAGGTTGTATAGCGACGGTGTTGGAACGCGCACGTCCACGGTGCAATGATTGTTAGAACGGCATTTTTATAGGTTTTGTGGTAATTACGTCAAGTGTTTTATATTTAAATCGGCTGTATCTTCAGTTAGGATGAATATGTTTTGATGCGAGTGAAACTTTCTTTCAAAGAATACTACTATATAGTTTCCTCCCTGTTACCACGGTCCCCTAGTAATATATAATAATATGTAGATATTGATCGGGGTTTTTTACTCTTTTGACTTTTATGATTACGATTATATCGAATGTATTATCATAGAGACTTTCAGTGTTCTATCTTCTAGCTTTCTATTACTGTACAAAATGGAGATTGGAGAAGTTTCTAGACTATTTCACCAGCCTTGCAACATTTGGACCCCAATAATACATTTCTTCTTGGAAACACCCCTCACAAAAACTTAAGTCGAGGTCCCCCACTCACTCAGTCAAACCTTTATCTTAGTTTACTGTGAATATGACTTATGGAACCCATGATGAATGTAGACATATTGTTGTAGGGAGTGGAGTCTGGAAAGGTATTGTGCAAACGGTCTATATGCCAACAAATTTATTGTAAGTTGTTTAAATAATAAAGAGCATCATTGAACTCTTATATTATTAGTTATTAGTTAACCATAAGCATACTGATAACAGCTATTGGTAAATGATTAAGTAAATATGTGCTAATTTGAAGTATAATTTAATAAATTATTAATTCTAACAAGTTGTTCCAAAGCACAACTGGAGCATTTCAAGGAGATGCACTATCAGGTAATCTATTTACTGTTGTTGAAGCCGCTGCACTTATTCACCTCAGATCTGTACTCTCCCAAGTATCATCAACACCTTACCCAGTGAATCATCCAATCCCTAATCCTCCTATCTCAGAAGAATTCATGCCACTCGAAACAGGATACTCTGATGATATTGACTTTAATAACACTGAACTTGCTCCACTCAAAGAAATGCTTCCTATCGCTAAAGATATATTCCAGCAGTGGGACCTTCATATCAATTCTTCCAAGACTGAATTTGTCCATTTTTATTTAGCAGATCCTAAACCCACTGTTAAACGCAAGGTGATTGTTGGAAAAGTGTATAGAGGTGATGAAGAGTGGCGCTCTAACAAAACTTTAGGATCGTTGATGTGCACTGTTAAGGATATCAAGAATCGAATATTCCTTGGTAATGTTGCCTTTAGTAAATTTCAGAAAGTTTGGATGAAGAGCAAGATTTCAGTCCAAAGGAAGATCAAAATCTACGAGGCACAAGTAGTCTCTATTCTACTCTACAACTGCAACTCCTGGGCTGCACCACTAGCTTCGTTGAATGAACTTGATATTGCTCATCGCAAACACCTCCGAAGAATCCTCAACATCAGATGGCCTACTGGGGTTATTTCTAATGAGGCACTCTATGCTCGTTGTTATGTCACTCCCTTGTCTGTGAGAGTCTCTAAGTTTCGATGGAGAATGTTAGGACATATCTTAAGAGGACAGGAAGACTCACCAGCATACACCTCTATGTTATTTGCTATAAATTCTGATATTTTTATGGAAGGGAGACGGGGTAGACCATGTTTAAACTTATTAGATGTTATTAGAAAAGACTTGACTAGTAGAAATCTTGATATTAGACTTAAGAATTTGACTGATTTCGAAGACCTTAGATTTTTAGCTTTAGATAGGGAGGAGTGGAAGAAGTTAGAAGATGGTTGATGTTTTTGTTTTCTTTTTTATGCGTTTTGATATCTATAAGGTGCCTAGGATGCTCTTTTAAAGAGATATTTCGTACTTTGAAAGATTTACTACTACTCTAACAAACTTAGCTGCTGGAGCTATGACGATAAAGTTTGACGTCAAATAATTCGGAAGAAAGTCGGTTTATTGGTCTATTAACAGAAACTTAGCTGCCGGAGCTATGACGATAAAGTTTGACGTCAAATAATTCGGAAGAAAGTCGGTTTATTGGTCAATTTACAGTTGAAGACAGTGTTACTGTTCGTAAGGGAAAGGTTTTGTGTGAAACTGTTACTAACAAAGAAGTAAACATTGACGACATTTCAGACCAAGATGCAATGTGTTATGCCCTCATGCAACGTTCTCTGGAACAAGTTGTGATTCATGATCATTGCAGACACACCTTCATTGTAATAGACAAATTCATTGTTCATCACTCCCACTTTGAACTCATTTACAATAGTAACAGCGATAATATCAATTATAACAGTATTTAAATTTTAATCTATATAACTAGGAGTTGATCATTTAGAATTTAGAATTTTTGAACTTGTTTGATCTTCCGAGTAGAACCATGAAATACTTTACAGTCTTCGCCGTCCTTCTGATTGTTCTAGCATTTGCTGCTTCAAAAGACTGCCCCTCGAAAAAGAAAAGTAAGAAAGTAAAGCAGTACCGTACGAAATGTCTGAACAAAGGATTCAAGTCCTCCTTGGGCTGCGAATCAGGAGCTGGAAAGCTGAAGAAGAAGTTAAAGAAGAAGTGTAGTAAACTGGAAGAAGACCTGAAGAAATGCGACTACACCTGCTCAGATAGTTCTACAGACGGGAGCTGGAGTAAGTTTGTCGATTGGTCAGAATGCTCAGCTGCATGCGGAGGAGGAAGCCAGACGAGATCCAGAACATGCACCAACCCTGCTCCAGAGAAAGGAGGAGCTGACTGCGAAGGAGAGAGCTCTGAGACCCAAGAATGCAACTCGGAGGAGTGCCCTACTCCAGTGGATGGAGGGTGGAGTGAGTTTGGTGACTGGTCGAAGTGCTCAGCGGAGTGTAACGCAGGAACTCAGAAGAGAACAAGGAGCTGCACAAACCCGGCTCCTTCAAACGGGGGAGAGAAATGCGAGGGGGATGACGGGGAGTCTCAAACCTGCAACCTTCACCCGTGCGGAAAGGAGTGGTTTGAAGTTAGGTACGGTTAATTGATCAAATAAATTTGGAATTTTGTTTAATATTTGATCACAAACTTGTATTGTAAGACAGAAACATTCTGTATTTCAATTTACATTCAGGGATAATGTAAAACCGCCGTTACAAATAGAGTACGTCAAAAATCTACAAAATAATATTTTCAGTTTTGGCGAGACCCCCACTGGAGACGTATACTGGCACCGCTCGGAGCTCGCCTACAGGATGGGAGACGACTTCCAGCCCACTATTAGCATGAGATGGGGGAATACTCCAGCCTACGAAGGGATGATCCTGCAAGGCAACCTGATGTTCTTCTTGCTGGATGGAACTTATGTTGGAATAACAAACTTGTTCCAGACTGCTACCGGCGGCGTTCATGTGTCATCTCTTCGAGGTAACGAAGATTTCGTTATCAATGTTCCCGGATGCGGTGAACAGAAATTCACCAAAAGTCTTTACCATATTAACATAGCGGACGGTCCAACACTGGCAGCAACTTGGAACATTGCCAGGCACACCTCTGACTGTCCTGATCTCTACGGAGGTATGCAGTTCCCGACTAAGGAGGCTAACGTGGAGAAATACTTCCTCCTTCACTACAAGATCTCCAAATGGGATTCTGGGAATTTAGTAAGGGAGAAGAGGGACGCTCGAACTAAATCTGGAGCCTTTGAGATGAGGGAGGATGCAGGTGATGTGATGTTCATTCCGGACTCTGTGGAAGTTGACATTTCCTTCTCTGCCAGTGACTTGTCTGATGACTTGGTAGTGGTCCAGAACTAGGAGAACGAGAGACTTTAACATTGCTAACTTAGAAACTCTTCTAGATCTGCAGATTCTATAAATTTTTCTTCTTTCAGTCAGCATTTAGAAACTTTTTCTTCTTTTAGTTTTAGAAAATATTTTAACGTACGAGCTCATTTCATATTAATTCTACTTTCAATACCACAATTCATTTCATCTAGTATTTTTGTTATAATATGATCAAATAAACAACTTTATGTCAGCATTTTCACTTCTCCATGAGGCTGCTGAACGAACTGTAACTGTGACGACCAGTGATATTGACAAGTTTGAAGCGGACCATAGTATAACAAGTAACAAGCTCGGCAGGTTCCCAAGACTTCTCCATAACAAACATAAGTTTCCGGGAGTTTTCTATTTACGGACTTCAAAGTTATAGTCTGAGACGAGAAAAATCACGGAATCTGATGTTTGTTAAACAAAGACTTAGAAACTTGAACGAGCTCGCATCTTGTTATCCCCCCGGCAACGGGGAAGAAAAAACACTGAAAATTGACCAAAAACTGACCCTTCTTTGTGGCCAATTTCAGCTCGCAAATGGAGTTGGAACATCGCGATTTTTAGCAGGGTTGTATAAAAAGGATAAGAATAGGACACAGTCTTGTTGTTGCGTAGCGGGTTTCTAGTCTATTATAAAATATTAACAAATATGCTTGTGTATATTCCCACCTGTCGGATAATAGATCCCAGAGTAGCTTCACTGAGTCTCACAGGTCTGTACCAAACATCAGCGTCAGTTGTGAAGTTTGAGAGAGCCAGGAAAAGAGGTCCAATACCTCGCATGTGTTTTGGGCGGTGTCGCAGGAACTCTCGGAACAGGAATACTGGACACCTGAACACATGAGTGGTAAGTCACATGAGTAGTACTAGTCACGTGATTAGTCACATGAGTAATGATTAGTCACGTGATTAGTAAATCAGAGTTAATATCTCGTTGTATGATCTCGGTATTAAACTCACAATTGTTGTCCCCTTTACAATATTCGATATTTAACAAGACTAGATTTAACGAAATCTTAAAGTTGGAAAACGAAAATATACACTTTTAATTTCACCTATAAATTTGTATCCTGAAGTTAAAACTTACTTTTCGCCCTCGTTAGCATTAGCGATCATTGAGCGGAGATTCTCAGTACCCCCAGCGCTGGGTTTCGTGCAGATCACCCTCACTACCCCCTGTTCCTCTCTCACCTGAGACGCCTAAACGTTAGGTTTAGACAACAACATTAACATTAAAAATTAACATCTCTAATAACACTAGTTTCACTAGAAACATTAACATCAACATCAAAATTAACATTAACATTACCTGTAACAACAACAACATAACCAACATCTCAAATAACAACGAGTTTTGATCAAAAACATCAAACAACTTCTCGATACTCGGAATTATCATCCGTAGTGAAAATCTCACTTAATCTAGGTAATGATAATCATAATTTACCAACCTCAAAATCCTCAACTCGGAGCATGTAGAGATCCTTTCTACCCTTGATCCCCATCCTCTTCACCAAGTTAAGGAGATTGACATTGAGAAGCGCCAGAGCGGACTGGTTTCCCAGCTGTCCACTTCTCCACAACAAGTCTTCTTCTTTTGCGCTTATGTTTATCTGAAGAGGGAGTTTTTAGGGTCATATTGTGACCTTGAAATAGCTCTGTCATTGGCTAGTACAAATTAATACCATAGGGCGGCAGGACAACTTTTGTTTTCATTAATCGTCAGGGGAATTCCTTTGTACGTGTTGCTCAGTGATCGAGTGAGTACGGGATGTCCAGTGATCGAGCAAGGCCCAAGGGCATGACTTGAGGCTGGGAGGGATGCTCTTGAACTAAACCGGGGCCGAGATGAAACAAGAAAAACGTTTTTGTTTGAAGCCAAGTAATTTTTATACATACAGAAATGGCTTTTGCTTGAAGTATTTATATTACGAATTATGAGTGGATACACCGAACAAGTTTGTAAACGTATTCCGTTTAGCTCCTTTTATTTGACCAAAGATATTTTTACATTACATAACATTAGGCAATCATATACAAGCTAGTAAAAACCATTTATCAGACAAAATTTCTAAAGAAATCGATTTCAGCCTGTAACTTAAATTGATTACTCACATTTAAAAACTTTGTCATGTTCTGAATTGATCTTTAACAGAGCTACAGGTTATTTTATTTTCATATAATGTGTACGTAGCTTATTTGTATACCTTGATATAACTTATTTCACCAATTGATTCTCACATTAAGTTTTTTAAATTATTCATCATCAACATTTTCGATTGTGGAACATTTCAAACAATCTTCGGTAAAAACCTAGAAACTAATACATTGCGATTGTGACTATGATTTTGCACGGAAGCCAAATGATTCTTATGACAGAGGCCGAAAAATATTATCAATCACCATTCACCGGTGGAACCAAGGCCAAAGCCTCAATCGACAACAGGTGTTGCCTATTATAGAGAGGGAAAATAAAGTTAATTTGTCTCTGGATATAAATGTTGTACAAAAAATATAAGGGCAGTTTGCTAATTTTAAGCTTTGAAGGAAATACAGTAAAAGAAAGAAAGGGGCGTTGTAGTTCGACAACACATGTAAAGTGAAAAAATGGGTTCGTTTTTACAAAGCAAACATCCGGGACAGGATGTAGAAATTGTTAGATTTGCCCAAATTTTTTCTTTGTTGGTAAAACAAACAAATTCTGCAAATGCTGCAACCCGGAACTGGCAAGACATGTTGAACACCAGCTCTTTAAAGACAAACCGATGTGATAAATTATCCGACAGAGTTACTCGGTACAACAGTGCAAACATAATTATTTATCCACAACTTTGTTCCATTATTTTGCCACATGTGGCATCTTTAACACGTGACCAAATCACAACAAGAGTTTGTTACCAGCATCACGGACAAAGGATAGGACAAAGACGACACTCTCTGTCACACTCACAGAGCCTGGCAAACTATAATCACAGGTTAGACTGGCAGTGGCTCACACTCTGTTGATATCTCTTTAATGAGACTTGATTTGAGGCCTCTCAACTTCCCTAGTTGAGTTTGTCCCACAACCAAGCACATTGCCTAGAAGTCCTTCATTGGACATAAGTTGCGTGTAGCTCTATAAACCAAAACCAAAACCAAAACCAAATCCGACAGAGTGCAAAAAGAGAACGTAACATAATGATTCGTCTGCCAAAAAATATCGCCAAAACTCTTCGGGACGATGGTCAAAACCTTATCCTAAATTTCTGTTAGCATTTATTTTCGATTTCACTTTCACTATAAGTACCTGAACAAGCTGCTGTTTTCTGTTTCCCCTCAACATGAGAGCTCTCATTCTCTGTTTAAGGACCAAGTTGCTTTCTCTGAAGGTAGGATCACGTTTCAAGGACACTTCACCGATCGTGTTCTCCTGGAGGTACCTCTCAATGCTCTTCCTCATTAGTCGGAGACATTCCGCTTCGTACGGCTCTCCGGACACCTGAGTAAAAGGGGGTTAGAAAATAATCTTACAAAGTCGAGAAAGAGGTTGTGGTTTCCTTGCCGAAAATTGATGGCAAAATAGCGACAAATTCCTAATTTTTCTTATTGTGTGTACATTTTTTCCCATTAGCTTTCCATAGAAAAAGAGCACACCTTGCATATTTCAGCGTAGAATCTGCAGAGAAGTTTATTAAGCTGCTCGAAAGAAACCGTCTCTAAAGGTCTAGTCTCGCCGTTCTTAGCTGCCCATTGTCTCCACACGTTGACTCCCCAGTTTGTTTTCTTGGTGGTGGAAGTGATTGCCTCCCCCGTGTAGGCTAGCTCTTGACCTTCGTATGCGTTGACGTTAGTATCCACCATCATCTAATCTAACACCTACAAAGCGGACTGATTTAAAAGTCGCCTAAACATGAGTTGTTTTTTGTCTATTGTTTCGCAAAAATCTGTGGAATTTCAACTCAAAATTCCGAGATTTCCTATTCGAATTAAAGGAGAGGATTCTGCCTGTCCGACGTATGACCTTAGCGCTGAATTTCAGATTTGATAAATTGGTAAAAAATTATGATAAAGGCGAGAGTATATAGTAAGCTGTCACACTTGGCATTTAAGAACAATTAAACCGACCAACAACAAACAAAGAAAACGAACTAATTGTTCAATAATGAAAAGGAGCAAGGCCGGACAATCTGGACCTGTCTCAAGGAGATTCTGGAGAAGACAAATGATGACTGATGTTAGTTTCGGTTTTAGTTTCATTCCCGAGAAGAGTAAAGTAAGTTCTAGATAATGATAACGTGGACGTATGATGTGTGAATAGTGAAGGCGTGCAGCTCCTACTCTAACAAAACACTGAACACTTTTTAAACGTAACGAGAAATCAACGATGGATAAAAATCGGTTAAAAACCCAAAAAGGCCTAGACCAGGAAATAGTGCGTGTGAGAAATAATGTAACACACTGTAAAATGAAGAGATAACGAAAAAAAAGCGCGGAAAGAAGTCATGGCCTAAATGGAATGGGTTATGATTAGCGCTAACTGATATTTATGTTATCAGATAAAAATGTTAACATTATGAATATGATTTCAGCCCAGTCTATTAATTTATCCACATAAAAAGAGATAACAATGGAATGAATAAAATCGATAAAGAAAATAGGAAAAATTCAAGACAAAATTTTTTCCATGTTAGTTCAAATTTGGATCCTACAGAAAGCGACCAGCCAAAGTCTACAATGTGATGAAATTATGAGCTGAGTGCGATTTCTAGGTAGAAAAACAAGAGAGAGCTCTTTCCGCGATTAAAACAAGCTCGTAAACCGGGTGTTTTTTTAAAGCCACGAGACCCAGCTCAGCTTAACACGTGACTACAAAACTAAACATCATTGGTCAAGAATGATTACGGTCAGGTTCGATTTGCGGGTGTTGCTGCAGTGTTTGTTTTTCTCTCTTTGTTTAACAGCTTATCCTAGTACCCACTTTTAACCCGAGATGAGTAACGCAATGATCAAAGAAAACATGGTCACCGCACAACAACGTGCTACACGTACACGACAAATTCCGTTTGTCAAAACACAAAGCTCAATGTTGAACATAAAAACACAAAGCTCAATGTTGAACATAAAAACACAGAGCTCAATGTTGAACATCAAACTGGTCGAAAATCATTAAACGACCGATTGACCGTCCTGTTTATCATCGAATGTCTGGGTTCCTCAAGATTCTATGTCTCTGCCAGCTGGATTATATACATTTTCTGACTACCACTTCATTTCACATTTTTGTGTGAGAATTGTGGCTAGGCAAGTCACGCACCTTGTCAACTGTGGTTTGACAAGGAAGTATGCGGCTGTTTGGTTGTATCCTCAGTTAATTGACTTTGAGAAAACCCACTATAACCTACTTTTACCAAAATTTCCACTAAGTAGACAATGCAGAGCTGAGCAGTAAGGCCAGTTCCTACACTAAACAGTAGGACTTTTACTAAGAAACAAATAGCTCTGACTTGACCCACACTTATGTTGCCGGCATATGTGAGCTATTCTAATGTTACTGTTCTAGAGGATGATAACGTGAGAGTCATTTATTGCTTCAGCTGTATAACTGTATACTCGAGAACAAGTCCTGACATCGACCATAGTGTGTACCTATTATATGGATCAAAAGTAACGTACAGAAATAACGTCCAGTAGCAACGTTAAGAAGTAACGTCCACAAGTAATATTTAAACAATGTGACAATGATTCTCCCTGCTAGATTTCATTTGCCTGCTCCAAAAGGCCCACCTAATCTCAAAACTGAGACCATGTTCAATAATTTATTGAACATGGCCTCATGAACCCTTATTTATTCAGAGTTGCACTACAAATACATACATATTCAGGGACAAATATCAGAGGGGACAAAATATGCCACAAAAAAAGACAAAGCCCAATTTGAAATGACGTTAGAAAGGATTGAGCAGACAAAGACTTGGTTTATATGAATGTACGAAACGGGACACAATAAATTGGGCGAAATGGACTTCCGTTTGGAGTGGTTGTGCGAGTCAAGAAAAAGACATGATGGAACAGCTAAGTGCGGGCCTAGTTGAACAAAGAGACCGAGTTAAAACATTTGTCACCAGCTTCCGTATTTCAAAACTATTTAGTGTGGCTTAGAAACAGGATTTGATGTGCTCTCTCCCAGAGAACCAGCTGCCAGCCAGTAACAATAAAGGGTCCGTATAACGTGACCATTTTTCCACCAATCGGATACCAGAACGAACACCAGGAGACTCGCGCACGTGGGCACGTGACAGACACAGAGCATCACGTGACACTGGCAGTAGAAACAGGATCCAATTAAAGGTGAGGGTAGAAACCAGAGTTTCCGTGTCTGGGAGTCTGCCCAGAGTTCCCGACCCCGAGAGAAGCAGTATAACGGGCACCTCTTCTTCCTACCCCCTGAGGTGAACACTGAGGTGTAAATTCTCTGTCTGCTTGGCATTTGACATTAAGCTGGTATTATAGCCCCAACTTCAGGATATAGAGCCTCAAACTCCATAGAAATTTAAATGCAGATATTTTGACCTTAGTCTGAATTTTTGATCTTGAAGACAGTTATGGACCTAAACTATGTCTAGATTAAGGTAGCTCAAGCTTTGATAATCGACCAAAAACTTTCTAAATAAATATTAGCGTCAATAGTCGAGTTTATTAACAATGAGGCCGGAGATATAACTTCATACCGAAGAGGAGTTGGCACCAAGGTATGAGGGTCAAGAATTACAAGCAGGAAATGTCTCGAAATTTAGAGTGGGAAATGGACTGCACCTAGTAACACCTTCACCATTATACGGCAGGATAATGAAATTATATCACAACCATAAATGCAGTTCAAGTAACTAAGCAAATAGACTCGGCCAGATAATCGTGTAATTTGTTTTCCAGACACTAGATACTGTTGCTCGCCCCCTATTAAAACTCCCTTTCCTGCACATTATTGAATTTACCACTATTTACCACTTTATTCCCAAGTAAGTCAGCAGTTGATAGACAGACGGCTAATCTCAGGATTGGGGAGGGGTCCTCGAATTAGAATATAATTTATTGCTTGATAGGCTGCTGCTGCTGCTGCGAGTGAGTGAGTGTACAAACAGAAACCAGGTTACCTGAGATGAGATGAGAATTCAGGGCCAGCTTGGTTCACATGCTACCAGAAATTAGTAGATTAATGTACAGCAGGGAGGACAGTAGGGAGGAAACACAGTCTGGTGTACTCCTCCTCTCCAGCCTGTGGTACAGATATTCCGTCTAAAACGAGAAACTGATAGATTGTGGTACTTAAACCCAGATTATTGATCTTAGTAAATACTTAACGAGGGGTGGCATGTAAAATAAGGGAAACTACGTTTCCATGTTTAATTTGTCTTTGGCTGGTTATTTGCCTTTTTCTAATGATCTAACATGGAGTTTAGAAACCAATTCGTTAAAGCGTATTATAAGAGATCCAACAGGGTCGGTGGTACGCGGACACAAATTAATTGGATTACTAGAGAGGGTCTTAAAGAGACAAGTGCTATAGACAACGACTGATTGTTTCGACAGATTGTTTCAAAGCTTTCAAATAACATACATTTTAATCGTCTTCAGCGGGATTTCAATGCCGAGGAATGATTCTATCATTGAGTACCTAACTCGTTTTAGTCAAGCAAACGGTAAAAATCTTAATTTAGTTAATAATACTTAATGTTTCTTGAAAATACAATTTCATTAGATTGGGATGAGCATAATAGGAATAAGGTCAGAAGGTTGATCAAAGTCAAAACATTCTCTAAATTAAGTAGCTATCTAACATTTAATGATTAATATGATTAACGATACTTATGAGCATGAATGGTTTCAGACGTATGCTTTTATTTTGAGAAAGTACATATCCTCCCACCCTTTGATTTACAGGGTTGGTTCACTTGATGTCGTCACAAGTATAGATTTATCCAAGGAAATAGAGTCCAAATATGAAATAATCGCACTTTCCCCTAATAGCACAGACTTATCATATTAATCTTTGTGGGCACTTACGTGAAAATAACATAGCACCTAGGCACTCTTTACTACCTTCTGTCTTTCAACTAACCAAACCCCTTTTGACAAGTTTATTTTTGGTTCCAAAGTGCAACTTAAGTCTGAGTACCTCAGAGTAGGATCGCGAATCCCATTTGACCAACATTGTCATAAACAACGCTTGCCCTCTCCTGCACTGATCAACAGTAGCATCATTCTTCGATTTCCAACGGAGAAGAGAATTAACTTTAAGGGCGTTTTAAGAGCAACATTGCATAGCCAGAGCAATGAGCAGAGATGGCTCATTTGGCGGGAGATTTCAATACTGAGTGGCTTTCACGCGAATGGACTTTGTAAAGAGATGGAGGATGACCACTTGGTTTTGTTATTCAGGAGTAGCAACATGGATTTGAAGCCATTCTGTCTCTGGTTTTCTTTGGGTATACTTAGGTATGTAATTTGGTACTCCTTTGGCGAGTTCCCAAGTATGTATAATAATGTACTGGTTCCTGACGCCTTTGCAACAATGGAATGCTAAATTTCTAAAGACTTGCGAACGAATTATACCCTATATCCCTTGTAGTCTGAGACTTTGAGTCTCATCCCCGGCAACTTTCGGTTTTAGGGTAAAATTGTAGTGTTCTGAGACGAGGCCAGTGCTGGCAGCGGAGTTATGTAAGGATCTACGGTTAGGAGATGGCGTCAGGTAAAGTTTGAAGTTCTGAGTCTGGGTAAAACGTCGTGATTAGGGACTCAATTCCGCAAGGCCAAAGATCTCTGCGAATTATAAAGATCGATGGAAGATGACACGGTTATAAAGACTAAGAGTTAATAAGTTTTTTATTCTATGTATTAAGAGCATGAGCCACCTGTTTTTAATTCTCTTCTATCATCTGACTGACTCTTCTAGTCGTATCTTCAACCCCGAATAAAATTATATTTAAAATTATTAATTTAGAAGAGTGAGTTAGTAATCAGATGATAGAAGTGAATTAAAAGTAAGTGATTCAAGTCCCGAACAGATACATAAAACAGGTTGATTAAAGTTAGTTAAAACCCAACCATTCGTGAGTTGTATCTCCACCACGAAAAAAAACAGAAGATGCAAAGCAGATTAGGGTATCCAATAAATGTCGATATAAAGAAACCCTCTTCACTCTGGATAATAAACCAGGAGGTAGCCGACCAGCAGTCTGCAGTCTAGAGGGTCCCAATCAGTTGGACTATTCAAATTATATCCGTACCGTCAGCCTAGTGTCCGTACCATCCGACAGTATGTAAATCAGATTGGTTTACGTTGGAGACACCGGGTCTAAAGTCGGCCCAGAGAACTAACACTTCAATAAAACTCTGTCTAAAATCCGGACCCTCTCCGTGCATGCGAGTAATTTAATGTTCCTGAACAGATGGTTCATTTAAATATTTAAGGAAACATTCATATTTATCCCGGTTAACGGATAGACCTCCGGTGCTTTCTCCAGAAATCAATCACATGATCGACATAATACATTTGCCGTTTAAACGAGACACTGAATACATAATGAATTTGAACCGGACAAGATTTAAAGTAAACCAATTCTGAAGAAACAAACTACAATAGAAGAGGAGCTAGCCGAAACAATAAAGTACAATAGAAGATGCTAGCCCAAACAAGGTCGTAACATCCGAAGGAATGGTATAAACTCTAAACCCTAGACTCTCTACACTACAAGGTCAGATTGGTATAGTCACGGATAGGTACAAAGGGTAGGAGCTAGAAGAAATGAAGTAGAGAAACAAAGCGAGCAGCGAGGTCTAATGTTGCATACTTGAGTACCCACTTGCCAACAAATTGGCTTGCCACAAAGGGCAGCACGGGCAAGACAGAACACGAATTAGGACCGGACAATAGTGGGAAATCTAGTAAGGAATAAGGAGGCCGGCAAACAAAAGCTCGGAGAACGCTTTGTACAAAACAGAAACAATACGACAAGCAGCTTCGCTCGCTTCCATGTGCATTTGATTTGATTACCTCTCTCTCTGAGAGACGAATCACGTGACACAGTACAGCTTACCCGGAGTATCAAGCACTCCGCCCGATTCCAGTTCCCTGTTCCCCGGGCCACCAGCTGCTGCTTGTCACCCAGTCTCAGGGTGGGGGATGGAGAGCAGGGGGATACGAGGGCCAGATCAGCTCCAGACCTAGTTCCCCCCTCACCAAGAGAACTGAGAGATGAGCTCAGCCACACAGCTCTCCTCACCGGCTAGACACAAATCGAGAATTTGCATTTTAATATCTTGATTGCTTTTTCGTGTGTTCTGTATTTAGCCGGGTTCTGGAGCTCCGAGAGAGATGGGGGTTGTATCACGTGACCTGCCACTGTGACACGTGACCTAGCTTTGTGTCCCGTGACCTCCCCCTGTGTGACGTTGATTAATGAACACAGCGAGCGTGGCACGTGGTCAAGGGAACCCGCGCGGTTTCCTCCAACTATATTTCAATCCCGGCTCTTTAATTAAATGAAAATGCTTGTGATACCAAGCAAGTAGTATGGGAAATGTTCAAGTTGAGAAGGAGGACGGCAGGCCCCGATTATTCGGACCGTCTACCGTTATTATTGATATTACTCCTGATTGCTATGCCGGCTATAGGCAATTCTTCAATCTCAGGCTCGACCAGTAAATATACATTAGTTCTTTGCCAAAACAAACTTTAATACTCTGAAGGTTTGAACTGTATTGAAATGTTGTAATGGTTCGGAGACATCCCGTTTAACTTTAAATGAAATATTGTGATTTGAGAATGAAATTTTATTTCAAAATTTAAATAAAATTCATATCAATGTACAATTACATTTACTCAAGACCAAAATACCTACGATGAGGCAACAAAATGATTTATGTAGGCTAGGAAAATATTAATGAAACTCAACACTACCGGAATGTAGCTGGAGTGAGAACAATGTAAGTAAAACATTAATAAAATCGATTTCCAAAGACTAAAATACGGCGGTCAAAGCATAATGACATTGGTGCCGAGACCCGAGTGCCGACCCTACATAAGATTAAGAATTGAAATCATTAACAAATTATCAAGAAACTAATTTAAAATCCACACGATATCTTCTCACTACTCCTACTCCACAGGCATACTCAACACAACAAAAATAAGAATAGTATAGTTAATAATAATAATAGTAATAGTACTATGTTTACAGTATGCACTGAAGGGGTATCCTAGGAAGTTTCTTAAAATTTTAACAGGTACCCCTCCTCATTTAACCCTCAATTAAGTTTCCTATCATTCGGCTGAGTCGACCGAGTATAATGTATTATTGTTAAGGTTGAAGGTCGAAAAAGATTTGCGAGGATGGGAAATCGATTTTTAAAACATAGATCCAACCCGAAATGGAAAAAAATACGAAAGCAAAAGTAAACTCTCGATTCTCGAAATAACCAGTGAGCCACTCCTACTTTACACACCATGCGAATTGCGACTGCGTGTAAGATTATAAAATTTGAGTAGAGTTAAATATAAAGAAGAGTTCTATATTACTACATTCATACAAGTTAAAATTCCAGGAAATTCGATTGGTAACTTATAACCACGTATACAAATAACAATAATTATACCTGAAATTGAAAAGTTGGTAAATTATTACCTTATCAGTATCACCTCGATGAGTTCAGAGAATAGAAGAACGGGCCAATCTGGTAACGAGTAGTCAAAATAACATCTTTTGAAATTTATCGCACAATAATGCTATTATGTTGATGATAATGCACGTCTTAGTCCTTAGATCTGCCGTTTTCTGACAAAAGTGCTTAAGTAACATTTTGGAAATTTCGGATTTTTTTGGTTTAACTTATGTTTTTGGGTCAAGAACTATCCCTGAGAACCATTTAATACATTCGCCGACCCCCCAAAACCCCCTTTTTGGAACCCCTAAATTGCAAACAATTTTCATTTTTCTCAGAAAAGTGCTTAAACAAAAGACCATTTTTGAAAACGGTGCCATTTCGGGAACTGAAAATAGTTGCATTGTTTTCTACGACCAAAACTGACCTAGTGACGGAAATTTGGTGATCGTGGGTCTCTTGGCCTGTAAAAAACAATTATTGCACTTAAGAAATATTATCAGAAAACGAAATTTTATTTCAGCCCTTCCCAATATTACAACCAGTGTTTCATCACAACAGTTTTAGGCTAATTTTTTGTCATATTTTCGATGACCAATGGTTTGAACGGGTCATTTTCATCAGAAGATGGAGTTTCTACTGATGTAGCTGTACTTAAGCACTTTTCTAAGAAATTCAAACTATAATTTGTGATTTTGAGGCACCTTGTCATAAGTCTTAAAAGTCGACAAAACACCTTAGAAACATAGTGGGTGCAGTTTAAATTTGACAGCAGCTATCCCAGAGCAATTACAGAAGTGAAATCTTTAGAGTCAATTTGCACGAAATGAACCTTAGTGTACTTAAGCACTTTTGTCAGAAAACGTCAGGGATGATGCTGATATTTATCTTAAATACTGCTAATCGACAGAATAGACAAAGTATCCACTTACCTTAAACATTAAAAGAGGAATCTGTAATAGGTCCAAATTTCTGTTAAATGATAGTTGCAGTGATGTTCCCGCTATCACGGCGACTTGAAATCCGGAACCAATTATTTTTCTCTCCATTCTGGAGACACTTTTCTTAAAAATTTGTAAGAAGCTAATAAGCATTAAGCAAGCTACTCATAAAGCGTGACGACAGTTCAATCTGAAGAGTTGAGTAGACAAAGGTATTTACAGCATGCAAGAGGAGTTCAGTGAAGGCGAAGATACAAAACGCGGTTCTCTAAAAATGTTTTCTGATAAAAATAAATTAATCAGGGTTATACACAGCTATTTACAACCAATACTCAGTCAACATTAGGCATTTATTCTTGAAAAGAGAAAAGTTCCCTATATTATCTTTTCCGTCCATCAAAGTAAAAAGAAAAAGTCAAAAAACCTTCTATTAGACATCCTTAAACGTAATTAACTTTCTGATATTGATTAATTTGTTAAAATGGGAGTCGTCTAATTGTTTGGATTGATTTTTTCAAAGAATTGTTCGGGTCCACGGTTGATAGCTCTCATTTTGGAACGGGTCGGAGCAGTTGTTCTCTTTGTTTTATCAACAGAGCTTCTAAGTGATCTGCCCGGGCCGAAGCTTGCCCACTTTTATCCCTCAATTCTTTTATCAGTTCATCTCTCTTCGCAAAAGCAGTTTTTATTCGGCTCTGTACCTGAATAATATCTTGAATAGAGAAAATATCGTTAAAAACATATCATTTCGTCGATATGAATGAAATAAAAGGTGGTTTTTCATTTTTCTTGCTTGAATAAAATAGTTCTGTATATAGTGCAGGGTACTCATTACTCTTCTTTTTACTTTTTTAATATTAAAGGAGTAATAGGTGCTCCACAGCCAAAAGATATAGACTCATTTGTATTTACGGATGTCTATCTCTTTAACATGATTTAAGGGAAAAATGTTTTTTTACTATCTTAGCCTCCTTATATCTTGGTCCCTTTTAAAGGAACTATGCACATAAATGATAAATGACTGGAGCCAGACCAATAAAGACTATATATTGGTGTGGCTGTATATTATACAGTCCCCATTGTATCACCATGAAAAATTAAATGGCCTGTTAGTTCCTGAAACCTTCAAATCATACATGGCAGCCCATGTTGACATGCTGTAACAAATGGTCTACTGGCAGGTGACAAATAAGATTATTATGGATCGGTTGGGATAGGTAGGAGTGAAGAAATGTGCTCCTTTTTACAACATCCTTCTCTTTTTTGCCATCTTTCAAGGGAACAAGAAAGAATTGTTAACCAAAAAAAAACAATGTTACATCATGACAACGTTATTCAAGGAGAATTATAAGGAGAATTTGTGTTTCATCACATTTACCTCTCCCATTTCATCCTCGTGAAGCCTGCCCTGTCTCTCAAACTCGAATTTGTGTCGAGTTTTACACTCTATGAGCTCTGATTTAGCATTCTTGTTTTCCTCTTCTAATGTGACAAGTCTCTCAGAGAATTCACCTCTTATCACTTCTTCAACCTTGTCTCGTTCCCCTTTCAGACGACTCGAGAACTGAAACAAACTCGACATTAACATTTAAAAGTCGAGATGATAATATACGAAAAGCATATTGTAACACCAAACCATGTAATCACGAAATGATATTCAGAAATATAGAAAAATAAAATAAAAATAACCTTCTCAAGGTCCTCATTCTGCCTCTCCAGTGACTTGATGTGACCTCGTAACCTTATGTTATCAGCCTCAAGGTCGGTGACACGCTCCTTCATGACATTCAGCTTACTCTGTGTCGTGTTGTTGAGGTGCTCTACGTCACCTATCTGCGGGGTATGTATTTGTAAATGTGGGAGTAGTTAAGGAGTTCAGATATACCCTGACGCTTGATATTTACCGGTTTGTCAAAGCGTCATATTTTGTCAGGTTGAGCCAAAATTCGACAAGAACTGGGCGTTGAGCGTTGACCAATCAGCATGCGACTGGTATGGTTTCAAAAGATACTAGAAGCAGTCGCAACTCGCAAGTTGAAGTGGACTTGAACAAAACTAACTTTGAAATAATAACAGCGAACTGTTTAGCGTTTATTCAAATACCTGTGATTCGTATTTGTCTTTCAGTCGTTTCATTCTGCAGTCGAGAGTAGCCTGGCTTTCCTCTTTTTGCAACGCAGCTTGTTCCTCGAGTTTGCTGATCACTATTTCGATCTCCTTATTTCGGTCTACCCGCAAGTTCTCGCGAATTTCCCGTTCCTTTGCCATCAACTCGGCTACCTGTGAAGGGTATTATAAAGATGGTAGAAATTTACATTAATGTGCAATGCAGATTTTACAGATTAATGGACACAATATGAACAATTCCAAATTTGGACCAGTTAAAAGGGTTGAAAGTTCAACCGATACTAAGCTTTGGACAACAGCTCTTTAAAATTGAATTTTAATTTGGCGGCATCTAGCACGTCAGATTCACTGCAGATCATGCCAGTCAAATGACTCGTACCGCGCGCGCTTATTTTTGGCATACACAGCGCTAAAATATAAACTTGTATCATAAATGTATTGTACGGATTTCGCGTTCAAAGTGCTCGCTCCATTTGAAACGTTAATTGCCCTTCGGAACAAACATTAGAAGAATTTAGAATCTTGAATGTACTACAAATTATGATCATATGAAACATTATTTCCGACCACAGTTGAAGCAATTGTAATACAGTTTTAAAAATTATTTAAATTATTTAAAATTACGAAGGAGTAAGTTGTCATTTGACACGATTTTGTAGATTCATTTATCGATTGTTCTATTTGTATTTGCATTTCTCGATTGATTATTATTTGTATCTGATATTTTTTGATTATACATATTCTGTTCATTATAATGTTATGATTGTATTTTATTGTAAATGTGTTATATTTCAGTATTATGTAATGGGATGGAAGCGTTTCAACCAGGTGTAACCAGTCCAACCGTGACTTCAGACTTGATGTCTTGTTTTGCTTTGTTTGTGTTGTTGGTCCTAGTTATAGGCTCTATATGAGCCACTGAGGAGCATGTCGCACAGGACAAGAGCATTGAAACATTTACTTTCTGAGTATTTCATCAGTTATTATCCTTATTTTTATCAATACTGTTGGGATTCTTTTTTTCGTTAGTAAACTTCATTTTGTTCAATCTAATTTGTATTTAACTCAGATCAAACTTGAGCAACTTAATCAATGGGTCGGCGGTTGCATAACCCACGAAGTTTTGCAAATTCCTGTTGTTTTAGAGCTTGTTTTGATGAACCATTCAGAGAACTACATTGAGGTGCTGGACAAAGTCTGTAGAATACCAGTAGACATGGACATTTGACCAACACTTCTAAGTGACAAATGTTTTCTAGAATTGTTCCATATGTATCAGAAAGTGGAAATGTAATCTGTTGAAAAGATCAAGCGATCTAATCAGAGATTTCTGTAATTGATATAGTAACGGTGTTGTAACACGCACGTACACGTACAAAGATCATAACCGGAGCGAAATTTTAATCAGTTGTATTGTGATAGTTTTGTTTTGAGTGCGTATTTTACTTAAATCGGCCATATTTCCAAATATGATGAAAAGTTTTTAAATCTGTAAAAACTGACTATCGAAGAATACGATTAGCTCCTTCCCTTTAATTTCGAAAACGATTGAACTTAGAATGCAATTATTGAGTTTTAAATTTCGCTTTGCTTCTATGATCGATAATTTGAATTTCAAATGCAATCATTGAATTTTCATGGTATTTATTTTCGAACTTTAATATCTAGAATCGTTGAATCCGTATTGCGTTCGATTATTCTTACCCATTATATTTGTGTTCCATTTTTTTAAAACCCGAAAATCTCAAAAAAGTCAAAAAGAGGCCACAGCTAGTTTTATTTAGTACTAATCTATCTGTATACTGTATGGGGAAAATAAAAAACATGTAAATTGTATCCAAATGATTATACCTGCTTTTGTTTCTGATTCTCCAGCCACTGTTCCTTCTCCACTTGTATCCGTAACTTCAGATCTCTCAAAGTGTTATCGTGTTCCATCTGCACTTTTTCCATCTCTAAGGTGTGCTGGGCTTGCACTTTGGCTGATTTTGTATTGAATTCCTCTTCAATCGCCTTCCTGTCCCCGGCGAGCTGAACTCGGTCCTTGTTGAGAAGTTCAGCTGCACGTTCCTTCTCTTCTTGTACCTGAACATGTCACATGGTTGGTTCATTCATTATTTGACAGTGACTTTCTCTATTCTTCACCAGTCTCTATCAATAAACATGAAATTCACAATTTGTTTGGCATAATTATCGCACGGAAACCGTTACTCTTATAATATAGAGAGAAGTAGCTCCTACCTCCGCATATAAACGTCGTCTCTGCTGCTGATAAGCGTTTTCCTCCTGTTCGACTTGTTTCTCAAAGCGCTTGTGTGCGTTATCACGCTCACGCGTGCATGCTGCCTCCTTCTCGTCATCTAACTGTTTGCGCAGCTCCTCCACTTGGGCAACAAATCTGCACAGTGAATATATTCACCATATATGGTGTAACATGGATAGTTCTTAAGTACAGGCCAATAATAATTAAGGACTGAGGAGAATATCGGCGGTTTTTACTCTAAGATTAGCCAGAGATTAATGCAAATTTATTTAGTGCAGTTTTGGATATAAAACCCTTCAATTCACAAACCTTTTGCTGGCACGTTCATCTGCAGCTAGAAGATCAGCTTCATGAACAGCATTGAGTCTCTTTATCTCTGCTTTATTCTTGGCAATAAGTTTCTGTATCTCGGGTTCCAGTCCTCTTACTGTCATCTCTTTTATCTTGTTCGACTTTTCAGCGATCCACCGCTCTCTGACGGAATGATAGTTTAAATATCATCACTTTCCCTCAATTTGAAGCACCTCAATAAGGAAGGAAACATAGTTTATCTGGTCAATTAAACTTCATAGTGACTCGGCTTAAAGGCGTTTAGTAAAATGCTACCATGCTTTAAGCACAATTTGTAATTAAGATGTTCCACAATTATCAAGCAGCTACCCAGTTCACCCTGATTACACCACTTTGATTGCACGATTGTTCAATAATCAGAACAATATCTTATCTGCAAAGAGGCAGTTCCCTCCACCTTGTTATGGTAGCTTTACGAAATTCCTTGAAAATTAATCACATGATACGATTCGACATAGTTCTGCGACGAATATGCAATCATGGGATCACATGATCGACTCCCACTTGTCAAAACATTTTCCCTATCTCACCTCCCTGTTTACGTTGTGGCATGTAATCAGCAGTCAGTCACCTAATCACGTGACAAGATCACGTGTACGCCTTGTGACGCGAGGTGATTACAAGACTATAAATACAGGATACACTTTTTAACCAATATCACATTTTAATAAACTTCAAATTATCCCATTACATTATCAACATTCAACAATCTCTTATTATGGAAGTTCTGCTGAAGACTATCCCCTACTCCCCTACTCTGCCTGTTACCACATCTGCCAACGAGCTGATTCCTGTAGAAGTTTACAACCTTCTCAAACTCTCACATCCTAACATCCAGAGACTCCTCCACTACTCCTACCGGAGTGAGAGCAAGACCTGGACCCTGATCTTGGAGTACTCCAGTAGCTGGGAACCTCTCTCTGACGTCATCAGAGCCAACATTCTTAACGAAGACCAAGTTAGAGACATCATCCAGCAGCTGCTATCCGCTGTTGTCCACTGCTTAAACAACGGAGTTGATCACCGGGATATTTCCACTAAAAACATCTACCTAGACTTGGAAACCAACGAGGTAAAACTGGGAAACTTCCAACTCTCCTCCGTACTCTCAGTCCTGCCTCACTCCCTGAAACTCCCTTCCTCCTCCACCACATGTACACCTCCTGAACTGTACCGACACGGGTCCTACACCCCTAAATGTGGTGTGGTTTGGTCTGTGGGGTGTCTCCTGTTCGAGCTCCTGTCCGGTTCTAAACCCCTTCTCTCTACTGCTGATGCTGCTCGGAATAACGTGAGGTGGGAGATGTTACCTCCAAACTCTGTCAGCTCTGATGTTTACTCGCTAATCTTGGATTGTCTGGACCCAAACACTGAACAAAGGCTACCCCTTCGCAAACTTGTCAAACATCCTTGGATTGTGAACGAGATCTTCGTGTGAAGAACATTCTTTTTCTACAGAATTGAATTGTGTAAATTGAAATTATTTGATTATTATTGAAGTGTATATTATAATATATTCTAACTTTATATCGTTATTTTCGGGTTTCAATGTACCTTTTGATCTTTTCAACGGCTTCGATGGCCTCTCTTTGCTTCTTCACCTCAACCTTTTGACCCTCCTCAAGTTGTATCTAGTAAATTGAACTTCACAGTGACTTGGCCTAAAGTACTTACTTGCATTTGAAAAGGTCTCCCACTAGTCGTTGGATTGGCCTGCACCACACCATAACTCCTTTTTCCGATTATGAGGCCTCTCCAATATACCCTGTTTGTTGATTGATGTACTGCAGCTTCCATTGTGATATTATCGACACCTGTGAGAATAGCTGCATCCTCAAGGACACATGATAACCAGTTCTTGCGAGGCCTACTTCTACACCTTTTGCCATGCTTTGGGATCCAGTGTAGAAGATAGTTCGGTATTATCTCTTCTTGCATCCTCACCACATGAGTCTATCTGCTCGTTCGTCAGCGTTAGATACATGATAGTTGTATTTGGTTTTAATGATTCTTCTTTTAAGCATCTCTGGTGCAACACCTCAAATATTTTCATACGAGTCTGAGTGGTACACTTCTATAAAGATTAAAGAAATATAGCTAAAACAGCCACTTTATATAGATCTTGATTTTAGTTAGCATCTTAATGTTGTGACTTGTGACTGTACCAAATGCTGCTGAGCTGATATAATTCCCCAGAGGCCTTTAGAATGCTATATTAGTTATTTATCAATTGTTCCATCGGCACTGATGATAGCGCCAAAATAATAAAATTGCTGTTGTATTGGCAGACCTCCACCGTGTCGTCTTTAGAATACTGCCTCTGCGATGAAATTTTTCTGACAACTATACTCTGTGTTTTGCCAGCATTAATCTTCAGACCCGCATAGGCACTGTAATTTTGCAGAGACGGTCAACTGTTTCCTGCAGCCCCTCCTTTGAGTTGCCTAACATGGCCATATCATCAGCGTAGTCAGTGTCCAAGATATTATGTTTATCTTATACCTCAATAGATGCAAGCTGTATCAAAGCCCCTTTACTAAAAGCCTTGTACAGTTCCATAATAAGGTATGCATAATGCAGTTTGCAGGGTAATTGAGACTAAAGTTTAAGACCGGAGGACCCTGCATATCACCTTGTCCAGTTACTTCCCCGTTGGCCCTAACAGCACTGAATGTGTGAGAAAAGAAAGCCCGCATCATTCTGATGTACTTGTTAAAGAGGCCATAATGCTGCATACTTCTCCAATTAAACTGCCTGTCAATCGAATCAAAAGCAGCTTTAAAATCTACTAAACTGATATAATACAGCTCAGGAATATTATGTTCTATACATTGGTGTATAATAAGTAAAACGGAGTGAATAGACTTGGCCCATACTGGAGCGATTCTGTCTAAAACCATATTGGTTCTCCAAGAGAAATTTCTCCATGCCATTGTTTAGTCTCCGCAGGAGAATCATAAGCAGAAGCATTGAAGCTGTAGACCTCAATGTTATACCTCCATAATTGTTAGAGCAATAAGAAATAGTGGCTTTAAGGCGTTTGGTAAAATACTACGTGCTTTAGGCACAATTTGTAATTAAGATGTTTCACAATTATCAAGCAGCTACCCAGTTCACCCTGATTACACCACATTGATTGCACGATTGTTCAGTATAATCAGAACAATATCTTATCTGCAAAGAGGCAGTTCCCTCCACCTTGTTATGGTAGCTTTACGAAATTCCTTGAAAATTAATCACATGATACGATTCGACATAGTTCTGCGACGAATATGCAATCATGGGATCACATGATCGACTCCCACTTGTCAAAACATTTGCCCTATCTCACCTCCCTGTTTACGTTGTGGCATGTAATCAGCAGTCAGTCACCTAATCACGTGACAAGATCACGTGTACGCCTTGTGACGCGAGGTGATTACAAGACTATAAATACAGGGTACACTTTTTAACCGATATCACATTTTTATAAACTTCAAATTATCCCATCACATTATCAACATTCAACAATCTCTTATTATGGAAGTTCTGCTGAAGACTATCCCCTACTCCCCTACTCTGCCTGTTACCACATCTGCCAACGAGCTGATTCCTGTAGAAGTTTACAACCTTCTCAAACTCTCACATCCTAACATCCAGAGACTCCTCCACTACTCCTACCGGAGTGAGAGCAAGACCTGGACCCTGATCTTGGAGTACTCCAGTAGCTGGGAACCTCTCTCTGACGTCATCAGAGCCAACATTCTTAACGAAGACCAAGTTAGAGACATCATCCAGCAGCTGCTATCCGCTGTTGTCCACTGCTTAAACAACGGAGTTGATCACCGGGATATCTCCACTAAAAACATCTACCTAGACTTGGAAACCAACGAGGTAAAACTGGGAAACTTCCAACTCTCCTCCGTGCTCTCGGTCCTGCCTCACTCCCTGAAACTCCCTTCTTCCTCCACCACATGTACACCTCCTGAATTGTACCGACACGGGTCCTACACCCCTAAATGTGGTGTGGTTTGGTCTGTGGGGTGTCTCCTGTTCGAGCTCCTGTCCGGTTCTAAACCCCTTCTTTCTACTGCTGATGCTGCTCGGAATAATGTGAGGTGGGAGATGTTACCTCCAAACTCTGTCAGCTCTGATGTTTACTCGCTCATCTTGGATTGTCTGGACCCAAACACTGAACACAGGCTACCCCTTCGCAAACTTGTCAAACATCCTTGGATTGTCAACGAGATCTTCGTGTGAAGAACATTCTTTTTCTACAGAATTGAATTGTGTAAATTGAAATTATTTGATTATTATTGAAGTGTATATTATAATATATTCTACCTTTATACCGTTATTTTCGGGTTTCAATGTACCTTTTGATCTTTTCAACGGCTTTGATGGCCTCTCTTTGCTTTTTCACCTCAACCTTTTGACCCTTCTCAAGTTGTATCCAGTAAATTGAACTTCACAGTGACTTGGCTTAAAGTACTTACTTGCATTTGAAAAGGTCTCCCACTAGTGGTTGGATTGGCCTGCACCACACCATAACTCCATAACTCCTTTTTCCGATTATGAGGCCTCTCCAATCTACCCTGTTTGTTGATTGATGTACTGCAGCTTCCATTGCGATATTATCGACACCTGTGAAAAGAGCTGCATCCTCAAGGACACATGAATATGATAACCAGTTCTTGCGACGCCTGCCTCTCGAACTTTTGCCATGCTTTGGGATCCAGTGCAGAAGATAGTTCGGTATTATCTCTTCTTGCATCATCACCATCCTCACCACATGACTCATGAGTCTATCTGCTCGTACGTCAGCGTTAGATACATGATAGTTCCATTTGGTTTTAATGATTCTTCTTTTAAGCATCTCTGATGCAACACCTCAAATATTTTCATACGAGTCTCAGTGGTACACTTCTATAAAGATTAAAGAAATATAGCTAAAACAGCCACTTTATATAGATCTTGATTTTAGTTAGCATCTTAATGTTGTGACTGTACCAAATGCTGCTGAGCTGATAGAATTCCCCAGAGGTCGTTAGAATGCGAGTTGAGAGTTCTTTGACTTTATCAATTGTTCCATCCGCACTGATGATAGCATCAAAATAAGTGAAGTTGCTGACCTGTTGTACTGG